ATCCTATTTCCTTCTCATTCTATTTTTTTTTTTTTTGAGTCAGGGTCTAGCTATGTACAGTGCTACCTTGGTTCACAAATGCTTTTGTCTGCAAACAATTTAGGTCTCAAACAGAAGCACTGGGAAAAATTTTGTTTTTTTGCACACTGCATGGCTATCTTCCCCACACAAACACAAATGTGGCTGTCTTTTCAAAAATTGTAGCCAGGCATGCCTGTAATCCCAGCACTCAGGAGGCTGAGGCAGGAGGATCTTTGTGAGCTTGAGACCAGCCTGGGCTAAAAGTGAGCTTAAGGCCAACCTGAACTGCATAGCCAGACCCTGTCTCAAAAAGACAAAAAAAAAAAAAAAAATTGTAGAACAAATTTAAGTTGATGAACTGTTAGGTTGTCCTGGAATTCACTATGTAGCCCAGGTTGGCTGAACTCCTGCTTCAACCTCACCAGTGCTGGGATTATAGGTGTGCACCACTATACTCAGTTCTCTTCAGTGGCCAGTGCTACTATTAAAATATAGACCAGGTCAAAAACTTTTCAAATGTCTTCCATCTCATTCAGAGTAATACCCAGAAGTTTTATGGTATACTGCCAAGCCCTGTGTTCTGTGAACCGCCTCCCCAAATAATAGTATTCATCTCTTCACAGTCTGCCCCCACAACCCAATGGTGGAACCCAGGGCCTTTGCACAGAGCTGCATACAACTCCAGCACCCCCCTTTTTTTGTCTTTCTGAGACAGGGTCTTGCTGTACAAAGCAGTTCAGGCTGGCTTTGAACTCACTTTGTAGCCCAGGCTGGCCTTGAACTCAATGATTCTCCTGAGTGCTGGGATTATAGGTGTGTGCCACCATGTCTGGCTTCCAGCCCTTTCTTAAAAATTATTTTGAGATAGGGAGGCACTAAGCTGCCCAGACTAAATTTGAATGTGGTGTTGCTCCTCCCTTGGCCTCTCAGGGTGCTGGGATTATAGGCTGTCCCATCACACCCAGCTTCTGATTTTCCTATTTATTCTGCTAGACATACTGGTGAGCTTCATGTTTCTTGCTTAACCACCATGCCTGCCTCAGGCTTTTGTATGTGCCGTTTCCTTTGCTTGGAAGGCTCCCTGACTCCATAATGTGAATAATGCTTCCTGCTTATCCTCTTTCAAGTATTTGTTCAAATCTTCACCATCTTTCCGGCCCTAGATTTGAAATATACCACTCCCCAGCTCTCTTTTCTTCTACAGAATACCCACCAACTTTCAACATAGGTATGATACTATTATAAGTTATATTGTTATCTGAAGTGGCAGCTGATAAGCTTTTCTTATGATTTTGAGAGTTTATACCTTTTTTTAAAGAGTTTATATCTAATCATTTTTACATAGAAAAACATAAAACTGTTGAAATATGTAGTTGGTATATAATGTTTAAACTGAACATTAGTATTTATTAAAATCACTAGAAATACTTATTTTCTAAATTTCCATAGGAGGGGCTGTTCATTACTTCATAAAGGGAAAACTAAAGTCATGAAATTTAGTCCTTACCTGCAATATTTTTTCATTTTTGAGATTCAGCCAATTAACAAGCCAAGTTCTGTTTTTTTTTTTTTTTTTTTTTTTTTTGGTAACAGGAGTCGAACTCAGGACCTTGCACTTGCCAGGCAGTGCTTGTACCGCTGAGCTATATCCCCAGCCCAACAAGCCAAGTTCTGAACTGCTCTAAATAAAGTTATTTTATAGAAAAATTAGAAATGAATGGATATATTGGTATGAGCTAAATACATATCTATCTAGTTAACTCTCCCCCTTTTTTTTTTTTTTTTTTGAGACAGGTCTTGTTCTATAATTTAGACTGGCCTTGAACTTACTGTGTAGCTTAGGCTGACCTCCAACTTGTGGTACTCCTCTAGTCTCAGACCCCTGAGTGCTGGGATTACAGGCATGTAACGCTGCTGGACATATCTAGTTAACTCTTAACATTAAAAACAATAAAATATATCTTAAACACCAAGAATATAGTTTTATTCTGAAAATATTGTATCTAAGACTGATGGGAGAAAGTAGTTCTAAAAATGAATTCATGGGTTGGGGGTGTAGCTCAGTGGCACAAGTGCCTGCCTGGCAAGCTCAAGGTCGTGAGTTCAATTCCCGGTACCAACAAAAAAAAAAAAAAAAAAGAAGAATTCATGGCCCAATTTCGTAACCATTGTGAAAGGAGGCATTGGTCCATTGCTGATATAGTACCTGGCACATGGTAGCTGCTTAATAAATTTGTCTGTTAAAGTCCTTAGACTTTATTTACTGATTGATTCATTAATTTATTTATTCAACAGGTAATATAAGAACTGCCCTCCTAAGAAAGTGCTAAGGTAGAGTATTATAATAACACAAGAGCTTCTGTAAGTAGGACAGTAGTAGTTTTCTCTGTTTTAAAGGAAAATACATGCCCTCCCACCCTTTTATATAGAATATTTGTTTTTGTTTTGGGGCAAAAAATACTGCAAAAAAATTATTAAGTAACTCAACACATTTATAGTCCCATAGTCTTGTCTTTTTTTCTTTTGCTCTGGGTTTTTTTTTTTTTTGCCTTTTTGAGACAGGGTCTCGCTATGTAGTTCAGGCTGGCCTTGAGCGCAATTTGTAGACCAGGCTGGTCTTGAACTCGCAATGGTCCTCCTGCCTCAGCCTGCTGAGTGCTGGGATTACATGTTTCGGTTTTTTGAGCCAGGGTTTCATTATGTAGCACAGGCTGGCCTCACACTCTGGGTGATCCTCCTGTGTCAGCCTCCCAAGTGGTGGATTACGGTGTGTGCTACTATGTGACTTGTGTTTTCTTTTGTAATACACTCTAATTCCTACCTAAATTTCAAAGCATTTACAGAATAGTGCCTTATTTGCTGAATACATAGATCATCCTGGAAATTCCTTTACCTATAAAGTTTTCTAAATAGTTTTAAGTATATTGTGCTTTTGAAATTGAAGTTTAGATTTTAAAGACTTTGTATTATCCTATCTTACTAAGTCATGGGAACAGTCTGAGGAAGAACAGTTGTGAGCATGAAGGATGTGCTTTTCTGTTGGAAAGAAATGTCTAATAAACAGGTAAAAATATACTGAACCACTGTAGTGACAAAGGAAATAGAAATTGGAATGAGTTTTTTTAACTTAATCAGATTATTAAATTTAAATACTGGTGTATTTTAACATTGGTAAGGACATGAGAAAAGAACATGTACCTTTTTCTATGCTAAGTTTTGGGGGTTGACATGGAGGTAAAGTGGATACACATAACGTAGTACTAACTTATTATAGAAGTACTTGTTTGTTTGTTTGTTTTTTGCTTTTTGAGACAGGGTCTCGCTATGCAGTTCAGGCTGGCTTTGAGCTCACTTTGTAGCCCAGGCTGGTCTCGAACTTGCAATGATCCTCCTCCCGACTCAGCCTCCCGAGTGCTGGGATTACAGGCGTGTGCCACCACACCCAGCTTATAGAATTACTTGTACAGGTACATAGTGTTATATGTGCATTATGTCCTAGAATGTTGGGTATTATTTGTGAGAATTAAAAAGTACAGTTAACTGTTAACTGTGTTAGAATAATTACGTTGATGTTGTAATTATTTACTGCATTACAAACACTGGAATAGAGCTTTATGAACTGATGAGATGTCAGTGATAACAAGTGCAGGTAATCATAGAGTATGGTTAGTTGTAAGAAGCATGAATTATTATATATTAGTTTGTACTTACAAAGATCTGTAGAAACAATTATATATGCCTCTTGAGATTAGTGGGAAAGAAAGTGGAAGACTTAAACTTTTCATCATCTCTCTTCTGAAGGGTGAGTAAAGCAATCACAAAACACAAAAGAAAATAGTAGAGACATATTTTTAAAAGCTTTTAGTAGTTCTAGACTGATTCAGTTACAAGGGGATTGCAGTTATAGATGGAAGAATTTTTCCTAACATGCAGTAGAAATGTATGCCTCTTGTTTATGAAATCACTAATATTAGAGGAATTATTTACGTGGGATCAGCTTATTTTTTTGGCTGCTTTTTAAAAAATGGTGTACAGAACCCTTCTAGGATACCCTAAAATTATTTTCTCACTTTTTCCAATAGATATGCATGCTGAAACATGCTCATGAAATAAAAAATTTTATTAATTAAATACTTAATTAAAGGATGAAATTTTCCTTTAATGTAAGGGTAAACAAAACAATTTCTTACGGTTTTTTTGTTTTTTTTTTTTTTTTTTTTGAGAGACAGTTTTGTATCACTGTATGGTGCAGGCTGGTCTTGAACTTGTTTATGTAGCCCAGACTGGTCTGGAATTTACAGCCATCCTGCCTCAGTCTCTCCTGTGCTGGGATTATAGGCGTGTACCATCATTCCTGGCTGTCCTTACGTTTTGAAAACCCAAATGGCTAATATCTGGTAAGAATGGTTAATCCAAGTGTGGTGCACACCTGTGATCCTAGACTCTGGGAGGCTGAGGTTGGAGGACACATTTGAGCCCAGGCTGGGTGGCTTAGTGAGACCCCATTGCAAAACTGAAAAAGATGTATGTGGCGGGGGAGACTGGAGATGGTCTGTGTGAAGGCCCTGGGGTCAATCCCCAGTCTTTTTTTTTTTTTTTTGGTTTTTGGTTTTTTTCCGGTACCGGAAACCGAACTCACGACCTTGCGCTCGCCAGGCAGGCGCTTTGCCGCTGAGCTAAATCC